TGTGCTCGTTGTAAAAGGCCAGATAGCCGATGCGCTATCTGGGAGGCAGCGTGGTGTGAGACTTCTTAGTGCGGGTCTGCTTGAACTCAGGACGGATCTTTAATTAGAGCCACAGGTGGAAAATCCATTAGTTTGTTGGCGGGCTGAGTTGTGCGTTGGTACCAGTTTTTTTTTTTTTTGTTTACAGTAAAGGTGTTTACAGAACCTGACGCGGTACTAAAGACTTTTGCTGAGGTCTGTTGCACTGACCAGGTTGTATTCTCATTTAGTGTCAGTGAAAGACTTTAAACTTCATCAGGGACACAGCGATAAGCGAATAAGCAATAATGTTTCACACAGGCTTCCTGCTTCTCAAATGGGCTTTGCAAAGTGTTTCAAAATTTGGAATTCAAGATCTGGATTTGGGAAAGATGGATGAATTGAAGGAGTAAATCCAGATTACTTTCCAGATGAAAATACTTATTTGCTGCTCTCCTTTTGAGAGGAGCAGAGCTGATTATCTTGGTCGTCTGAAAGGATGTTTGTCGTTGCTCACTCTCCATGTCCGTCATGTTATTCTCGATCTTATTAAATGCTGCTGAATCTCTGCCATTCTTCTTCAGTCAACGTGTGCATTGCTTGTTGTTATATTCATATGTTGGTATTTATAGGTACGAACCTGCCTGAACTTCACCTCAGACCACGTTGCTTTGCACTTTAATATTATCTATTTAACAGTCAAAACCTGTATTGGTGAGTTTGAACTTTTCCAAAAGCAAATATAAACCAGTTGCTCAGATTCCCAGCTTAAATGTGAGCAACTGGTTTAACATTTATAAGCTTTTTACTGGTTTAATTTGAGTAGTTCTTTGCTGACGTGCTTTTCCTCCTTTTGATCCCATGCAAGCGTGTGTGTGGATCCTCACGTTTTACAAATGATTGTGTTTTAGTCATCAATGCTCTTTTTCTTTTTCTCAGTTTAAGCTTTAAATAATAACTCTGCTTTCTTTATTCTGTGAAGCCAGATAGTTTATATGGTCGATCTATATAGTTTGGTTTAGTTCTATGCTTTTTATCTTGACACTTACAAGCACAGTGACACATCAATCCCTAAGTGGGAATCGTACCGGCGACATTGTGACCATTGTGATTCTCAAACGGCGTCATGTCCGGGCAGCGAGGTTATATTCATCCAATTTTAGCGGTTTTTCTTTCCAAAGAAGAAAGGTATGTTCTTTGGGACATTGTCCTAAATGTAAACACCTACTGATTGCACTTGGTTTAGTGCGGAATGAAGCCGGAGGGGGAATGGAGGAGAGGAGGTGACGGGGCAGAAGAACGAGGGGTGAAGGAGAGGAAATCAGAGGCGTGAGGTGAGCGGACTGGAGAGGAGATCCTTATTGATCACTCTGCTCTGAGTCTCTCTCTGGTTTTAATGGTTTGAATTTCACAGCTGGGGGGAACTGCTCGGTGCTAGGAGCAGATACCATGCCCCCCCCCACACACACACACACAGGTCATTCAGCTCGGTGCATCAGTCCACACGGTTCAATTCAGGACTAGCTGGTCATCCAGGAACAGCCTCTAAAGCAGAGCTGGGCTTCATCGATTTTCTCACTGGAACATTGAAGCAAATTGTTGAAGTATCAAACCGTGGATTAGTAATAGATCCAGCTATTGATTAACATTGATTGAAATGTTTTTCTTAAAACGTAATGATAAATATAGTCACAGTTCAAATATCTGCCAGTGTAACAGGCATACATCCATACCTTTACCTCATGAATCCAAATGTTTTCATAAAAATACAAATACAGAAGCAACGTTCTCATCTATGTTTAGGGATCGTCTTTCTCTTCTCACCTCTGTGAGGGTTACAAAAATTGAAAAGACTTTATTGATTTAAGCACAAATGTTAAAATAGAAAGAAAATACTCAATGTTATAAAAATATCATCTACTGTGTGTGTGTGTGTGTGTGTGTGTGTGTGTGTGTGTGTGTGTGTGTGTGTGTGTGTGAGTGTGTGTGTGTGTGTGTGTGTGTGTGTGTGTGTGTGTGTGTGTGTGTGTGTGTAAATGAAGAACCTACTGAAAGTATTCAGTAGAAACATGGCCAGTATTGAGAGGTATAAACAAGGCTGATATTATTTTGGTAAAAATGTTGCTTTTCCTTTTGATTAATTCTGCATACAAGAAATTACGATAATCTAAACGGGATGAAATAGCTGTATCGACGACCTTCTCAAGATAAGGTTGTCTGAAAAAGCACACGTTTTTTGAGATGATACATGCAAAGTGCTTTTCAAATATTACTTCAACATTTTGAGACATCAAGGTGAAATCAAAGAGTTTTTATAAAATATGGATTGACTTAAGGAGGCCAAGGAGAGTTGTTTCAGATTTGTTTTCACTCCGTTGAAAGTTTGGGGACATCGAACACCGGGGGTCTGCTACCTGTTCCGTCCAAAGAGCAGTTTTGTCCTGTTTTCTACCAAATAACATTTTTCTGTTGCCAAAAAACACATATGACATTGCAACTTTATAAAGTATTAAATATAGTTTTATTTATTGAAAATATATAGTTGGTGAGGCTTTGGCTCTCAGCAGCCTGCTTCCTGTGCAACAAGCACGTTGACGTCTCGTAGCTGAATGAAGAGCCGTATATTCACTGTGTGTTCCAGTATCTGAGAAATTTATCTTGAGCAAATGCTACGTGCTTGGGGGGGTCAGATGGTGATCTGCCACCTGCAGGGAAAAAGGCTCTAGACAGCGACGTCATGTGGCGTGACGCACGCTCACAATCACATGCCGCAATGCTTATGTTTACCCTCTTTACCATCCTACTTTAGTCTGTTATCAGAGATCAGGTATCAGATCATTATTGAAAGTAATGGACAATGTAAAAAATGTGACCTGATGATGGTGCAGATAAAAAGTCAGAGAATTCCCAAAGTTATGACAACTTTCTGTTCCAGAGGGGACATGAATGTGCAGCAAATGCCACGGCCAACTTTGCAATGGAGTTGTTGAGACAATTAATTCCAAACGGAAAATGTCAAACTCATAATGCCGCTGGAAGAAAAGTCAGGGGATCATCAGTCATGACTATGTGTCATCCGGGGACCATTAATGTCTGCACAAACTTTCATGGCAACTCATCCAATATCTGTAGAGGAATTCCTCTCTGTTCCAAAGTGTCGGACCCCCTTACGGCTCCTCTGGCCCGGCTGCTATCGCACAATAACAGTACAGGACAGTAGTGTTACTCCTGAAAGAAATAAGTAACTTCTGCTCTATTAGAAGAATACTGTCTCTGAATAAATGATAAATGATACATTCTTAAGATTTAATACTGCGTGTGCGTATATATATATATATATATATAAACGTACCTTTCTTTAGCAGTAGAGTATGACGCCTTCTTTTATTCACTTTTTGAAAGTTGATTCTTTCCTGGTTAATCAGCTTCTCCAATCACATCTAGCAGCCATTGTTTCAGATTACATCTCTTATAAAACATAAGCATTCATTAATAAGGCTTCAGAGAGTTTAGTTACCTTTTCATTGAAGGCAATCGTCCACTTTTAAGCCCCCATCGTTATCTCAATGAGACCATCTCACTAACAAGGCATATCACAAGCTTCCATTGATCATTGAGAATAGGCGCGCGTGGTGTCAAAGCTTTGCTCCAATTGGCCAATAATCACCTCGTCTTGACAGATTTTTTACGGCGTTAATAGATTTTCGCCATTTCACGGGCGAAGCCCCCTCGCGGTGTTTGAGAAGAGGTTGCCCACCGTGGCTCGGAACCCCCGGTGTCAGACCTCTTGTGTTCTCTCCGGGTGATGAAGGTGCTCGCGTTTCGAGGACCTCATTGATCCTCGAGTTGAAAGATGGAGGTCGCGCTGCTCGGATCAATTGCGCAGAGCCGTTTTCAAGTCAGCGGGCTTCGGCTCTCTTGGAGGTCATTACATCTCCCGCACACGGACTGAACTCCGGCCTGCTCACAGAGCACGGATGAAAGTTTACCTGAATTACCAGGGGTTTGGGGGATGATATCATGCAAAAAAACATCATGTCGGGCCACATCGGCAGCGTGAGTGGCCCTTTGCGACTGTTGCTGGGTAGCGTTTTGATCTGCAGCCGCCGCCTATTTCAGAATAAAAGCAGGAGGAGAAAAACGAGAGCGAGCTTTTTGAAACCAAGACACAACATGTTTACTCCTTTTTAATAATAATCAGGAACACTTTTGCCGGGAACATCTGTGTGTGATTACTGTGGGATGAAAACTAAACAACTGTGAAATACGACATTAATCATTAAATGGCACTCGAACACACTTTGGATTTGAAAGCCATTCTGCATTCCATTAAAATAAGCACAGTGAAAGTGTTATCTTCTAAACCCCAAACTCAAAAAAATATAGATCTCTTTTTTTCAACACATTTCTACTTTTAACCGAGACAATTACAGGACGGAGGACTGAGCGCCGGGCCGCTCGCTGTGTGCGGTTAGAGAGCGTGACAGAGAAGAAGAAGCTGGACTTAACGCAACATATTTCTCCCAAGTTATCAATAATAACAACAATTTGAATGTCCATGCCCAAACTTCTAGTTCATTGGTTAAGGAAGACCAAAACGTTCAAATGATGTCAAGTGGAACAGTCTTATAAAAATGTAACAACAAAGCCTGCATGAACTCTGAGGGTTACAGGGTTAAGGAACCAAGAGGCAAATTGTCATCATGTACTTGCAATTTGTCGCAGCATGAAAAAGCCTCTGAAGAAGCGACATCGGGAGGAGTAACCTCAGTCGGCGGGTTCGCTCCTCTCCATGGCTGAGATAATCCCCGTTATTAGCAGCGCTGACCTTTCACTTGTGTCCGGTCAAGGCTGTGAAAGGATGCACAGAACCCGCCTGTCCTTGTTCCTAAGAGCATCTCAAAGGTCCGAGGGGACGACCAGAGTGCACACGGACTAATTCTCTGTTCTTTTCTTCCCCTCTTTTCTTTTTCTCCTCTTAGAACCTGCTGGTCAACCACGGATGAAGAGTGGAAGGAGAAGGCCAGAGCAGTTATCTGAGGCTTTTACTTTGGCACCACGGGCGGCACTTGCCACCTTCCTGTTTTGAATTACGAGAGAGCGGATTTGCTTTCGGCATGGCTTGTTTTACAAACATTCTCATCATGGTATTTATCTGCGGTATCATCCGGTGACGGATGCGCCGTTGTTCTGCACTGCTACATTTTACAGGGAAGCTTTTGAAGGAGTGACGCGTATGCTCATTAGATTTGTGGTGCGCTTTTATTTTACTCCTTCAGGAGTAAGTATTTATAGGGTTTGTGTTTGTTTTTGAGCGTCATGGTTTTTGTATTTTCTGAAGAAGGCAGGAGTAAAAGCTCAGGTCATCCCGGCCGTGGCTTAAATGCATCACACCTGTAATGTATGATTTCATTAAATCATTCATATCCTGCGACAATCTTGTTTTTTTCTTCACATTTGTACTTCTTCCCGACCAATCAAGCAGAGTGTTTTTCATTCCCAAGCTAAGATCATCCACTTTTAAGTGATTAATTGTGATGAATTGTTTTTTTCTCATTGAGGGAGAGGGGAGTTCAGGCATCTTTTTTGTAATGTACGAAGAAGAGCGGGGCATTAACATGAAGAGCTGTGACACTGAAGAAACCTACAAACAGAGCGAGGCCAAAGCCAGTTAAAGAAAAGCATGAGTTGTTTTTTCTCCTCTGTAATGCTGCACCAATGATTTCTGACACCGCGAGCAGTCGCAGTCGCTGTTGGCACCAAGCAGCGCCGAAAGCTTGGGCGTAACAGCTGTGAGCTGTTATCTTACCAACAGAAGAGCGAGTGTGAACCTGTTTTACAGCCGCGGTGCATGAGGGGAAAATATCACACTTTACGTCCTTTGGACAAATACTGTTAAACGTTTGAATCCAATCGTCCGTGAGGAATAACAGACGGAGCCGTCCTGCTGTCAATCCGTGTGTTGGGACGGGAGGGGGCGCGTACTGTGTGTCGAGGGGAACAACAACCTCACTGAACAGGCCCGTATGCCGGCGGTTTCATGTCCCCGTTCAAAGAGGAGGTCAAATTAGAGCATTTGAAACAGGACGAAATCGGGAGGTTTAGTGTAAGGCGGCACGCAGCAATGCAACAGATGGGTAGGCGGTGAATTTTGAAGCAGAGCCCTTTTTAAAAGTAATGAATTTGCAACTAAATTAAAATGAAAGAATCTTCAGTTGTCGGTTCTCAGCCTTTGACTGAAAAAATATTCTAATTCCCCCGTTTTTCTCCTATTTACAGCAGAAGGACTTTTTATTTTATTTTGCAACGGTACTTTTGTACTTCGTCTAGGCAGTTGTTGGAATCCTGCAGCAGCCAAATCTCCCTGCCCCCCCAACTCTAAGGTGTGCCTAGGTGTGCATGCACACCTATCGCTTGTTGCATCAGTCAGGTGGGCGACTATCGGAGCCTACCGGACTAGATGCAACAAGCGGGACGCGGCCTTGATTCGGGCCTTCTTCAGTTCTCCTGCTGCGGTATCTGGAGCACGGAGCGCACACACGTTGGGCCACTAGCGACCAATCTTAATAAAATATAAATGACCCGTGTGTGTGAGGGGAGGGGGGGGGGGGGTCTGGCAGATGTTGCTACGGTAACGAAAGCGAGAGCAGGCCAGGGAGCAGGTTAGGAGAGGTGCGACGGAGACGTTCGGTGCATTTGAATGCGTCTCTCTCGCTCCCCCTGTTGATCACGTGTCAAACCCAATTACCAGCGCGTCGCGGGGAGACGGGGGAGATAAGGGCGAGGCGGGGGTGAGACTCATCTGCAGCCTAGAGAGAACGCGTGAGAGGCAGGTGGGGATTTCCGTGAGTGAAAATATACGAGTGTGTGAACGAGAGGTTGTGCAGCAGTAATGTGAATGCATTGAAAAGATTTTTTTTCTCTACTTTTTCTCTTCACATGTTTTTGCTTATAACATTCCACCAAGAAATTGACGTATTGGTGTATTATTGTACAAAAAATCAGGTAGAAGCTAATCCACGTGGTTTCTCTTTAACTTGTAATGGCTACGCGGTGACAATATTGTGAATAGGAATAATTCTGAATTATTTATTTTTGCAATTTATTATAAGTACAAATAAATACGAGCTCATCACATGATGCATTTATACGGAGGCTAAAAGTGCGTCATTACCAGAGGCCGAGGCAGGACGATGTGGCCCAATGCTCCTACTTAATCCTCCTCCAGGTCACCGAAGCGTCGTCCCAATCAAGACTCATGAAATATACAAACTTAACATTAAAGCACTGAAACTAAGATTTTTTTTAAAACATTAGAATTTGAGGTTGTTTTTTTACCTTCATACTCATGTAATAATTGCTTATCTTTCCCCAAAGCAATTTGTCTCGCATCACATTTGAAATGAGACACACCAACACACACACACACACGCACACACACACACACCGGCCACAGGGGAAATCAATGACTCTTTCTGTTATCTCTTCCCTCCATCAGATTATCAGAAACACTGACATCTATTAGCCCGACACTCCATCTGCTCGGCGCTGGTGTGTGCGGCGCTCTGCAGAGGCCTCCCTCACGCCGTCGCTCTTCCGATTAAGGGCTTCCACCCCTCTAATGCCATTAGACGGATGAGAAGAGGCAGAGACGGTGGTTGGGGGGGGGGATGAGAAAGGGGACGGAGAGAGAGCGGTCTGCTTAACCTCTGCAGTCTGACGGAGCAGGCGAACACGCGGCGAGAGAACGATTTAATCCCTCCGCCGTAGCCCGGATTAGTCCCGCGATCCATCACCGCCTCGCTCTTTTCTCTGGGCCTCGCTGTCGTTTTTCTCTCCCCTCTCATCCCTTTCTTCACCCCCCCCCCCCTTTCTGTTCCTCTCTCCGTAATGCTTCTGGTACTGAGTGGCTTAATGCTGCTTAATGTGTCGGCTTCCCTTTATCTGCCTGTTGGTGTTACTCTCTCGCAGAGACAAAGGCGAAGCATCCGTCTAAATAAATGAAGGTCAATAAGCAGTGAGCACTTGTGCCGAAATCATGTGGGAATAAAAAATGTAAAAAAACACTTTATTTTAAGAAATACACACAAGATGCACATGAACGTCTGGCGCTTGAAACACTGGTGATCCGCAGAGAGCCACGTTGTCACGTTGGACTTTGGACCTTTTATAATTCACCTGAGACAAAGTTTTATGACAATCACTTTCCAACGAGATGATTAAAGGTGTATGTGCAGCTGTGATGGTTCCCAACCAGTAAAGTCACTCTTACTGGGTTGTTGTTAGCCGAGAAAGCATGTTGTCCGTCCCGTTGTCACATCTGAGAGGAGCATTGAACTCAAAGCCATGATGCGATCTTAAAGGCAGCGTGTCTCTTGTCAACCAACGCATTGTTAAATAAAGACAATGTTCTACGTTCCCTCTCGCCTCAGTTTGTGTTAATGTCCGTTACAAGTTTGTCTTTTCAGAAGTCAATACTGTATTAATAGGAAACAGTTTCAGCTCGTTACAGCAGCACAAGATCTCTTTTCAGAGTTTACTGGTTTACCGGCATGAGTTGAGTAAAAAAGTTACACTACATTAAAACAAATCAACATTTACTTGAACTATGAACAGATGTGTTCATCGTTCACTTTGATGACGTTTCCTTCATTTATCCAGTAGAACGTCTATCAGACAGACTGGCGCAACATTTGAAGAAGCTGGTCCTATTTCCCTGACATTTGTGGTTTTCAATGAACTCTCATAGGAAGGAATTGGAATTGCTACGGTGAGTTAACAGCGTCTCCAGGTCAAAATGGGCCCTATGCTTTTCATTAACAACCACCTGCAATTTGCCTTCACCTGTAGATTCTCTTCTGTACATACGGGCAAATATCCCCATGCTAAAATGCTAATGCTCATCCGATATGATGACCATGCTGAACATGGTAGGTGATTCGCGCTAACATGCTCGCCTTGTAGCTGTGAACAAGTTAGCGCGCTGACATTTGCATGTAGCCCGTTAGTTACTAAACTATGTAGCATAGCGCAAGAACATTTCAGGCCAACTTTTGCCGTTTGTATTTAGCCTCTAAATGAATCATTGGTGTGTTTGGTTCGTAACATGAACCATGAACATGAACCATCTGACGTTCCATTTTAAAGTGTAGGAAATTATCAGTTTGACCCTAAATTTAAACTTTCCAAATCTCACAATCTGAATAATGCCTTCTGGAAATAGTGCACCACTTGACTGGAAACACGGCTTTTTATTTGGTCAATGGCGCAGTCGCTTTCTCCCTCCTCACCATAGCAACCGTGTTGAATATGACGGCACCGCCTGAAGCTAGCGAACGCGAACTCTCTGCGCCGGGTAAAGGAAAGGACCCTTAAGGACCCTTGCGTGTCGCTTGCGTGTCGCTTGCGTGTCGCTTGCGTGCGTCGACCAATTTTTCCAGACGTCAAAAGCTACGCAAGCCTCACGCAGCCCGCAAGGCTGCAATTGGTCTGCTAACTACATCATTTCCGGACTCTCACATTTCCGGTCTCATAGCACATAATACCTACGTAATACTTCAGATTGAAATATGTCTGTTCTACAACCCGTCATTGGCGGACTACGAGGACGCGCAGATGGCCTCCGATTCATGGAGGGAGATCTCCGCAAACGCAAAGTTGTGGAGGAAAATACGGGACAAATATGTCGTATATGCTGCAGTGGCGATGCACGGGGGAAAAAAAGTCTCTGCTTTTTATGTATCCCTAAATAAACGAACCAACGACTTCCACACACAAAGACGTGACTCTCTAGGTCGTCTTCGACAAAAACACGTTACTCCGCCTGTTGTTCTGGCGGTGATTTGCTCTGCAACACACGCAAGACTTTTAGAACCACGAGTTGAAACGAGTGCGTCGACACGACGAAGCATGCAAGCGCCTTTAGTTGTATTTACAACACTGTGCCAGGGGGAGGAAACCAGATGAATCTTCCCTGCAGTCCTTTCAACAGCATGATTACTTATTTTGTTTTGCAATATTATCAATTAGTAAGAATCAAGGAATAATTAGTTACTATGATGACCTGAACACTCCTCATTATAGAGCAACCACTTACTTTGAGTTTCATCATGCTATTTTATGTGAGTGCATGTGGGCTTTCGGGTCAACCTGTATGAAAGAGTCACAACACCTCCTCGCTCAAGAAAACCTGTTCTACACGCTCATTATCATTGTTCCTTCATTTGTGAATTGAACACTGAAACAGGTGTTTCACTGCTTAGTGGGTAATATTTAAATTCTTACCGATTAAAGAGTAAATCCACTTCTTACAGTATTTCTTCATAATCTTATTATGGACGTCTTTTTTTGAACGTTTCAAGGTCAAATTCAACACCTCAATTCCACTGTGTGGAAACCGAAGGATGGCAATATTTAACATCCTATGATTTACCCACA